CCCCCCCCGCCCCCAGGCTGTGTGCTTTCTCCACTTCTCCCTATATAGCAATGACTGCATCTCAAACGATCCATCTGTTAAAATACTGAAGTTTGCAGATGACACAACAGTGATTGGTCTCATTTGAGACAACGACGAATCCACATACAGACGGGAAGTTGTACAACTTGCCTCGTGGTGTAACTAGAACAATCTGTAACTGAACACACTCAAAACCGTAGAAATGGTGGTAGACTTTAGAAGAAACCCTCCCATACTACACCTCTTACAATACTAGACAACACACTATCAACAGTAGAAACAGTAGAGAAATTTCTACTATATCACATGACCTAAAAGGGACACCTAACATCAAAAATGTCATCAAAAAAGCACAACAAAGAATGTCCTTTCTGTGCCAACTCAGAAAGCTCAAACTGCCCAAGGAGCTGCTGATACAGTTCTACAGAGGAATGGTTGAGTCTGTCATCTGCACCTCTATAACTGTCTGGTTTGGTTCTGCAACCCAACAGGACAAACACAAACTTCAGAGGATAATTAGGACTGCAGAAAAAACAATTACTTCCAACCTGCCTTCAATCGAGGATCTGTATATTGCACAAGTCAAAAAGAGGGCTGTGAAAATATTTACAGATCTCTCACATCCGGGACATAAACTGCTTCAACTCCTTCCCTCAAAACAGCGCTCTAGAGCACTGCACACCAGAACAACTAGACACAAGAACAGGTTTTTCCCAAAAGCCATCACTCTAAACAAATAATTCCCTCAACACTGTTTAAGTATTTACATAGTCTGCACTACTATTACTGTTAATCTTCTCATCACTCCTTATCACCCATCCCCTCCCACTTGTGACTGTATGACTGTAACTTTGTCACTTGTATCCTTACGATTTATATTGACTGTTTCCTAGTATGATTTGATTGCTTATTGTACCCTATGACTATATTCAGTGTTGTACCTTATGATTCTTGACTCTTGATGAATGTATCTTTTCTTTTATGTATACTGAGAGTATTCCTTGTGTGTCCAATCACACTTGGCCAATAAAGAATTCTATCTATTCTGTCTATCTAAGTGAGCGTTGAAGAAAAAAATAGTGAGCATTAAATAATAGTAGTACTTACTGTCTGGTTATGATCTCTGTCGTACCTCAAGAGCTTGCCAGAATATAGAGGTATTTTATTACAACTCATTGTAATATTACAATTTCTGTACCAAAATATGCCTATAGGAAACTGAAAATCTCAGAGGGTAATAATTAGATTAATGTAACAGTGTAAGGAAGCATCTACTTGGTTGCAATTGCTTTAATGGCAGTCCTAGTCGGGAATGAGGGCTATTTGGTGCAAAATATATTTCCCTTCTTTCCATAATCTACCATTTCTAATCATCAAACCTATAAATCACATGTTCATTTTTTTCTTACAACAGAATAGTCCATGAAGAATTTTTGAATACTAATAAATGCAGTTATTGTCCTTTCTCTAATGAAACAAGTCAATTTTGCCATCTCTGCTGACTTCTTTACCAGCCATTCTTCCATTGTGGGTATTTCAGAGTCTTAACATTTTTGTGCATATAATAATAATGCAGCAGTTGTCATTTGACCCTTCATGTTTTCTGCATTTCCAACATAAACCTGAAGTACCTTTATACATTCTAGCTTCCATATATTGTAAACACATAGTTCAATTTTTAAAAAAGCAATCAAATTATTTTGCTGTGCCTATTTTCAGTAAAAAAAAAAAAGCGGTAGCTTTGTAAATCTGATTGATTGATACTTTAAAGACCAACAAGTGGCTTATCCCATTCATCTATAATATATTCAAAACTACTGCTAGTGTTGGGCTATGCAATTCATTAGAATTCTTGACACATCTTGTTCACTAAGGTTTTTGATCGAATCATTTCTGTCCCAATTGCCAATAATTGCCAAAAATACTTTTCAGCAATTTTCTAGTTATAGATCTCTTCTTCTATATCATTCTAATGGCTCTCCTTGAAATTCAATTGTGTAAACAATTGTTTGATTATTATTATTTTTGTAAGAGATACATCATGCAACGTATGAAAAGAAAAAAAAAGGCCTTTGCAACTATTTATCCTTGGCCGCAATCTCACAATATCAATTAAGAATCTGATTACCATGTCCTGGGCTAGGAGAAACTTCACATAGGATTTGCAGAAAGAAATATTTCATATTCTATGCTTGTGTGGGGACGGAGGGGAAGGATAGGAAAATATTGCAATTGACTTTATGATTTGCCTTTGGAAATGCTTTGAGTGATTAGTTTCATCTGCCATTTGAACTATGTTGTTCACAGCCATGGTGTAATGATAGTTTCACAGCCTGAGAGGGTTCACTTCCCTGGTCCGCTGAACAATGTACTCTTAACAGTTAAGAAAATCACCTATCAGTTCGTATAAAGGCCCTTAGGAAAAGATTGGAAAAATCTGTCTTAAGTAGCTAAGAATATATCAGGTTGTGAAAGTGAAAATTATCCAGTTGCTGAGATTTCTGTAACTTGAATCTATTCCTGTTAAAAGTAAGCCAGGGAGAATATTGCTTTCTGTTGTGGACTGCCAAGAGTTTGACACTAGTTTCCAAAAACTGTCATATCTTGATTTAACATAGCACTCAGGCTGATGGAGTATCTATTAAATTCAAATTATGCCATTTGCACCAAATTATAGGGGTATTTACATAAATGATGTAAATATTATTTAACAGATAAAAATGTTTTCAATGAAGTCCACTTTACAAAGATCCATTAAATGGTATTTTTACTATATTTATATTTCCTAACTAATGTAGCCAGTGATGAGATAACTAAGAGTATTTTCCCATGCTACTACAGATCTATTTTAGTAGCTGTTTAGATTATATACAGATGTTTGGAATGAGATGCTAACTAGTTTGTTCATTCCTAATAACCCAGAAATATTTCTTAAAACTCCATTTAACCAAATTGAACCCAATATATAATACAGATTATATTATTTAGTGACTGCCTTGTTTAGCTACCATTCGCAGTTACAACAGTAATAAAAAATAACTTTACAATCAAACTTCATGTTTACAACCTTCATAGTGTTGTAAAGCAAAAGAAAGCTCATCCATAATTTCACTTAGTGACAGCTTCATTTAATGACTGAGTTGCTAATTCAAATTGTGGTCACTAAATGAGGACTACCTTTATTCAGGAAAACTCTCAGTAAATACAGAAATTTCTTAGTCTCAAATAAGTGAAATTACATCCCATACCCTTGTATCATTTGACTTCTAGAAGTCAGTAATTTAGCCCAAATAAGAAACACTAAAAAGAGTTCAAGAAGAAATATAGAATTCAGAAAGTTAAGAGCAAAATGTTATATTTCTAGTAGAATGGTATTTAGATTCAAGTCTTTCTCAGCATTTTACAGAACCAGCAGGCTTTCACTTATCAGAGAAATATATTTTCATGTTAAAATAAACCTGCAAAACTCTAGTTGTTTGGTCACCATAAGGAGGTGTTATATTGAAATATTAGTTACATTTCTAAGAACCTCAGCTTTCAAATCAATACTTTTATTTTATTTTTAAATATTTTTAAAGGAATACATTCCATAATGAATTGATAATCAGACAGTGACACAATAAATTTGCATCTAAGTTGCTTCTTGACATGATTCCAGATTGCAGATTGCCTGTTTACTGAATCATTTAAACGTGTTATAACATTAACACATATGTTAATGTTAAGCTCATAGTTGCTCTTCACAACCTGGCAAACAAATTCTCAGAATCCTATCAACTCAATTTATAGAAAGGGAAAAGTTAGCCTGCAAAAAACTTCGCAAAATCTTTTGCAACTGGTCCCACAAAATATTAAAAATAAAAGAAGTTTGTTATTTATGTATGTTAACTAATTATACATATTTATATGAGGTCCAAGAAAATTCCTCTTCACTCAGTGTGGCCCAGACAAGCCAAAAAGTATTCAGCCATGATTTAGGTCATTAGGAAAAGATAGTTTAAAAATCTCTCTGCTGCCTATACAGGAAAGGGATTTATCTTCTGCCCCACCCGCCTCAAAATTTAGAAAAATATGGACTCCTTTTTTTTTCACCAAACATTTGTTAGTTGAATTTATTTTTATTTTAATGGTGCTGGATTTTATTTTACCTTGATTGTAATTGTATTATTTTTATGTTTATGTCTATAATTTGCATTTTTAGTTGCTATAAATCACTTTGCTGTATAAAGTAAAATATAGGATATAAAATCAATAATAATTAAATACATTTCCTCCTTTGCTGTTGGCCCTGACTATAAATGTGGTTGGGATGGTTGGCAAATGAATTGCCTTTTAATAGAAATAAGACCTTCACAAGAGGGATTTTCTTTAGGACCTAGCAGTGGCGGATCTGATTAAATTTCCTCTTCATACTTGCTTTGATTTTGATTATTATCAGCCACACCAAATAAAGGGTATTTGTATTTTTGAAACCTGCATGTCAATTCAAAGACTCATTAACAATATGTACAGTGGGGTAGTACAGTACAGTTGCTTTGGAATATCTTATTAAAGCAACTCACTTCTCTTGCCATGATTTTATGGCTGGCTTTGTAAATAATTATGTAACAAGTCATATTCTGATCACATCTGGGGGGCAGTATACTGGTAGTTGGGTGAGCTAAATAATTCTTCACTACTCTAGGAAGCATCAATAATATAGCACTCTCCTAATTGGCAAGATTTTTCCTTTCAACTCCCAACCTCCACATGACCCCTAAATCTGCTTTCAGAGGTCTCCCAGTTTTCCAGAACAGATTTGGAAGTCAAGCAAGGAGCTATAAGTAGATGAGGCTTCATTCCACCACAAGGGTCCATTACATTGGTGGTAGAAGCCAACCCATAGGAGTGAAGCAGTTCAGAAGTAATTTTCAGTAGGAAAACAGTACAGCAAAAATATAAAAACAAAACCCTGATCTGGATTCTCCATCCCTCCCTAGGTGACTATTGTAAGAGGGGGAAACAAAAGAGGAGAAAAGAAGGCAAACCCAAATCGCCACATACATACAACGATGCTGAACCAAGCTTTCTGTCTGCACTTTGCCCACAGCTATGCAGATATTCAGGTCAAGATGTAAATCTGCTTGTGTTGCTATTTATGAAGTCATGTTCCCTTTGGTTAAACACTGACTTGGATTCCGTCCTATTCCAATTTGCATGCTAGTTTTGTTTTCTTTTACCAGATGTAAATTATGAACTAAGCTCTTATTTTGATAACAAAGTGCACACCACAGGCTTTAGATATGTATTGGTTTATTACTGTGTTATATCTTGGCACCAACATTAAATCCATTGATTCAGTGGATATTTTTCCAAACAGCATAGATAGAATTTATCTTTCATTCTAAGGTTGGCAGCTGTCCATGTTTCCCTGGCTGTATGCCAGTGCAAGCTAATAGGATGAATTTCACTGTTCAGCCGCCTTGGATTTTCTAAATTCCTTCCTAAAATATATATTTCAAGAGCTATAAATTGAATTTTGTCAATAAGTTTGAAAACAGACTCAGTACAAAACAAAGCATTTCAGGATTCTTTTTGATTAAATATGTTATGCATGTTTCCATGGATTATATAAAAGAAAAATGTCTGTTTGAAATAGATATCACATTTTTCACTATATTTAGCACAGTCGTGTGTACCACTTTTTAGAATACCTGTATGATTTTTATTACCTCTTTTGCATTGTTAGGAACAAGTCATTTATTTTTTGTCTCCATGTATGTTGCAGGTAGCCAGATGCCATCACAGACTCCTGGTACCCAATCAGAATCTAGCTCCCATCCTGCCTTGAGCCAGTCCCCAATGCCACAGGATCGAGGTTTGTGTTGAAAAATAATAACTGTGGAACATAACAAAATAAACAAGAGAAGAGCAAAATTTGTTGATCTGCCTATTAGAACCAGGAAATTCTATGTAAAGTTTTCTCAGCCAGAACAATTTCCCAAGGGAAGAGTAAATTTAAAAAGATTATCTACAAGATTTTTTAAAAGACCTTAATGTTCTGAAAACATTCTGTATCAGAAGATCTTGGTAGATAGTTTATGGCATTTTAAAATCTGGTTTATAGGAAACATTATTTATAAATATCTGATTTAGAATGTAGTCTCTGTGGGATAAAAACGTTAACTCATTTTCAAACAAGAGTTCCCATACTTTTCAAAGTATGGATGTATTGTTATGATTTTGAACATTGACGATTAAATATATTTTCTTTTAAAAGAGTGGGAATGGAACTAACAGGCTAGAAATTAATATTCTTGCTTTTCTCTTCTCAAAAAGTGCAAGTGTTATATTTTGTCAAATTTCAAATACATCAGGAATAATCTTTTCTGAATAAGGGTTCTAAATACTTATTTTTCTGAATAAGCAAATTATCATGATCTTGCTGTACTATCTCATTGTGGAGTAGAGTGTGGGAAGGATGAGTGATGAAACCTGCAAGTGTTTGACAAAAATACAGAATCTCAGCAGGGTCATTCAGGAAGCCCAGACAGAGCAAGCAGCATATTGGACAGCAGCGATATAGGAAGATGCTGGAGGCAAAAGATCTCTTTAGTGACAGAAGCAAAGGCTGTGTGTGGGTGAAGGCAGTAGTAAAACACTATTTTATTTTATAGAAAAAAATCATATGGATAGGAAATATCAAATCACTGACAGTGCAGTGCTGCTCATGTCAGATAACACTCGACATGCTACTGGGGAAGAGCTCAGACTCCAAGCATTGGATATTTTCAATCAGAAGATTGCATTGTTTACTACTCTTGAAAAATAAAGAAGGGACAGTGTTGCTTTTATAGTTAAAAAGAATACAGTGAGAACAGTACTTGGCTTCGTTGCAATCAGTGATCAAATAATATTGATTAGACTTAATAGAGAAGTGTTTGCATCAACTACTGATGCAAATGAAAAGGAGGCTTACAAGTTTTATGATCAAGTTCAATTTCAAATCAGCAGAAAATGGAAGCAAGATGTGATACTTGCGATTGGAGGTTGGAATGCCAAAGGTGGAAACATTAAGAAAGAAAATGTAGTTTGACTGTATTACCTAGGAAGTGGAAATGAAGCAGAACAATAATTTCTGCCAATCTAATGGTTTTTTTGTCATTGCCAGTGCAGTTTTCTAACAACCAAAATGAATACGATATACTATATATGAATAACAGCAGAAGGAGTACACAGAAGTCAAATTGGCTACATTATTGATAGGAGGAGGTGAAAGAACTCATTTTTAACAGTAAAAATGTGAAAGGGCTGACTGTAAAAGAGATAATGAATTGCTTTTTTTATGTGCAAGTTCTAAATTAAGCTAAAGAAGAATGACAACCAGTTTCCATGATATCATCTTGAACATGCACCCTCCATTTCCAGGGAAAACATCAGATATTTCTTTGAAGTCCTGAAATGTATTGACACACAGCCAGAGGAACTGTGGAATGAACTTAAGGATGTTGTTATGAATGAATGAGAAAGGAGACTGACAAAAATCAAGAAATAAAAAAACAGCAAATTGGACCTTAGAACAAGCCATGAAAGAGAATAAAAGCTAAAGCCAAGAATGACGAAGATCTCAGGAAGTTAAAGAATTTCAGAGAGTTGAAACAAGAAGCAGAATGATCACAATATTAGTAAGAACACTGAAGATGGAAACAAACAAAGGGAAAAAAGAAAATTCTTCCCCCCCAAATCTCCAAATTCAGAAGGGAGTTCCAACCTTGAATTGGTATTCTAAAGGATGTTAATGGATAGGTAGTGATTGATTCTAAAAAAAAACAAAAATGGAAGTATAATAGTGAAATTCTATATAGTAGATATATTAGTATTGAAAACAATTCAGAAGATATTCCTGACAAGAGCTTCTAGAATTACAAGGTGAAGTTAGGTCAGCACTTTCATCAATGCCTAATTGGAAGGCTAGAGATATTTATGGAATACCTGCAGAAAGCAACGAAAAAAGAACCTGCAATTTTTTTAACCAATTATGCCAGAAATCAGAAAAACAAAACAGTGATTGATAGATTGGAAGAAGTCAGTATATGTACTTGTTGCAAAACAACCAATCTGGCAGGGAAGGGGGATCAAGCACAGACTAGCCTGGGATCACTGCACAACCACAAAAAAGGCTAGGTCTGACTCTCTCCCAAGTTCTTTTCTATCTAATTATTCCCAGGAACAGGCTGTCAGACTGGGGAGATTCCTGTATTTTAGGCAGAACCTAATAAGGTAGTTAGCTTGAACTTTCCACACGTGAGTCTGGTTGTTTACAAATGCTAATACTGTACCAATATCAAACAAAGACTTAACAGAGTGTGCAAACTATTGAAAAATATCTATAAATAATCCTTAAACTGAGGTGGAAATGATTCCTGCAATTTTTCCAGAAATCCGTTCATACTCCCACACCATTCGAATGAATGGATTTCCAGAAAAATGCAGACTACAGGAACCATGTGCACCTCAGTTGGAGATGCAGACAACACAGACTCATCCTAACAGCCTGCACCTGTCTTCAACAGTGAAGGGACACAGGCAGAAAACATCCTGCAGCCAAGAAGAATCCACACTAATTTGCACTACTCAGGTGACCTTGAGGACAAGATAAACCTCCAAGTGACCTCAACTATTCTCTAAAAGAATGCAAATGACCAGCTGTCTGCAAGGAATATAAATCCTTCCATTCTCCAACTATCCTGTCAGAACTGAAGAAGCTTCTTGGATGAGAAATAAAACATCTTCATAGAAAAAAAAAAGAAAGTCCAATTGCCTCCAGAAAAAGCACCTTTGGGACAACCATGACCTGGATGATTGAGAATCTCCATAGGCCGAGGAATATTCTGATGCCGACCAAATAATTCAGAAATCCAAAGAATGCAAAATAAAAAAATCAACGTGTGTTTCATTTATTACAGAGAGACTGTTGATTATGTCAATCATGTCAAGGTGTACTTAGGAAAATGGGAATCCCAAAATATCTCATTGCCCTCATGCAAAAATATACATGGATCAGGAAGCTGTAATCCAGCAGAACATGGTGAACAGAATGGTTCCAGATTGGCAAACCAGTGAGACAAGGTTGTTTACTCTGTTTCTTCAAGTTATATGTGGCATATATATTGAGGAAAGCTGAGTTGGAAGAAGATAAGCATGGTTTTAAGGCAAAAAAAATAACCACCAATAACCTCTGCTATTCTGATGACATTACTCTGATAACTGAAAATGCAATTGATGTGTGTTTCCACGATTGTTTCATTGTATGTCAACAAAGTCTTTGCCATCCTCTTATGATTCACTGGAAAGAATCAAACGGTTTTGAGCCCAAGTTTGTGCCTATTAGAACAAGTTTGAAAATTATACCCAAAATCAAGTTGTCAGTTTGCCTATCACAACTGGAAAAATCCCAAGTACCTGTGCGAGAAGCTCCAAGCCCACTGCCTGCTAATTATTATTTTGTGTTGTACTGGTATATTTGTGGCCACTTAAACTGAGGCAGAGAACTATGTCAGCCTTAATGCAGGGAGGTGGGGGGGTGGAGATTTGCACAGTGGTAGATCCTGTACTCCATGATCCCTCATGATGTGCTTTTCTCTATTTTGGGGGATGCTTCTAGCTTAAAATATTGATTGAACATCAGCATCTTCACTGACTGACAGCCTGATGAACTGCAGTAGAGAATAGCATCCAACTCTTGAGTTGCAGAGCCAAATAGAAATGCTGTTTTTATGAATAATTTATCATAACCTACACTTTGAAAAGTTAAACCTTAATCTTCAAATTGCTCTTCTGGCACAATGTTTACTGCCATTTTGTTTCCAATGCATTATCCCTTCAAGAGCTGGCTTTTTTATTCAGAATATTTATTGAATTCCTTTCCATGCTATGGCTGATCTTCTGTGACCTGTTTAAAATGCCCATTTGTTTCATGCCCCAAAAACAACATTTGTAACCAGTGAAGTTACATTGATTTTGCCAACACATTTCTCCAAAGCTTTTGTTAGTTCTGAGCATTGTGCACATAAATATGTCTGGGTTCCTTTTTGTGCCCTACCATTGATTAGAGACCTCTTTGAAATGGAAAACTTGCTTGATCCGTTTTCTACTGAACTTAGAAAATTGAGGGAAAGTACCAGTATGGTATTCAAAGGAAAGCTGTTTGTCATTCACTGACTCAAGTAGAAAATCTTTCCTGTTGAAAATACCTAAACTGCAGGCATCTGTAGCAGTTGTTTAAACACTTTACTTACTGATCCAGACATTTCCAATTGAAAATACGAAAGGACCCTCCAATTTCTGGCAGTGTTTGGGTTCCTTCTAGCAAATATGCCATATTTTCCTTCCATATTGAAAGAATGAATAAAAGAGCACTAATGCATTTATTTAAAATATCTCAGTGCTCTGCAGTACACTGTTAATTGAGCAGTTTATAAGATTTGCTTTGCTTTTGTCAGCATTCTTGGCATAGCCAACATATGCCTAACCCTAAATCTCACTTTTAAGAATTAAGACCTGACTCTGACCCAGACATTAGGGATCAATTGAGTACGAGTTTCCCTTTGATTGTTTTGTCATATACTAATTACCACATGGTATATTTTGTATTTATGTATTGTATGGTATATGAGGGTATTTTCCCTTTTTATTTATTGTTTTTATGGTGTACACCACTCAGAATTACATCATTTGAGCTGGGAAGTTCTATAAGTCTTGAAAATAAATAGAAGATAAATCAGAAACATTAGCAAACATTTAAATCACAATTATTTTTAACCCAAGGAATCTAATTTTATGTTGTTATTTTCAGTTGAATAGTTCATATTTCTAGGC